CACCGCCCACAGCCACCGCCTCCCACAGCCACCAGGCCCCCTGCAGGGGGCCCACAGCCCCCAGGAGGTCGAGCCATCTCACCAAGGATCACCTCTGCCCCCCCCCAACCCCCTAATTCCCTGGCCGGGGTCTCTGGGACCCAGACCTCTTTAAGACGCCACAAAAGCCAGCTGTGAGGATGCAGTGGGCTTCTCGGGCGGCCGGCAGAGACCCTGGGGGGACCCGTGCTTCAGCCCTCCCCCCTCGTGAGGCTGGGAGCACAAAGGGCCCTGCTCTTCCCCGCAGCCAAGCTGATGCGCTCGGGTTTGAGCCGTGGAATCCACGGAGGTCTCCCAGCCGCACACCTGCTCAAGGGAACGCCACTCACCACCGCCATTCACCGCCCGGCGCGGGAGGCGGGGCCTGCGGAGGGCCACCCCCAGCCCCTCTGGGGTTCCTGCCTGTTCACCAGGAACTAGTGATTCTGCACCAAAACCCCCAAGGGCCACCGCGGCCCATGGTCCAGATTCCCCCCCATCCCCCCGAGCTGCCTGCCTGGTGCACATTTCCACACCCTCTCCCACCAGCGAGTTAATGAGAGGAGATGGGGGCGGGGGGGCAGCTGCTTAATTAGCTCCTCTCCCCTCCCCTCCACAGTGTCCCGGCTGCACACATTCCCGGGAGCAGGGACTGCTGCCGTCCACCCCACAGCGCCTGCCGGCACGGAACAAAGACAACAGCCCCTCACAGCCCGGCATCCAGGCGGCTTTTCTACAACAGGAAACTACAGAACAAGGAGCGCCTGTCCCCTCCACACACTTTCAAAAGGGAAGGAGGAGATTCACTGAATTTGTCATGAAGATGCATCCGACAGAGACGTGCCAGGACAGTCCGCTACCCCGTCTCTGAACGACAGGAAACACGTTTACCAGAACACGCGCACTGTTCTGTGTAAGTAAACACGCAAACACACGCGCGCTGTTCTCTGCGTAAGTAAACACGCAAACACACGCGCACTGTTCTCTGCGTAAGTAAACACGCAAACACACGCGTGCTGTTCTGTGTAAGTAAACACGCAAACACATGCGCACTGTTCTGTGTAAGTAAACACGCAAACACACACGCGCTGTTCTCTGCGTAAGTAAACACGCAAACACACGCGTGCTGTTCTGTGTAAGTAAACACGCAAACACACGCGTGCTGTTCTGTGTAAGTAAACACGCAAACACACGCGTGCTGTTCTGTGTAAGTAAACACGCAAACACACGCGTGCTGTTCTGTGTAAGTAAACACGCAAACACACGCGTGCTGTTCTGTGTAAGTAAACACGCAAACACACGCGTGCTGTTCTGTGTAAGTAAACACGCAAACACACGCGTGCTGTTCTGTGTAAGTAAACACGCAAACACACGCGTGCTGTTCTGTGTAAGTAAACACGCAAACACACGCGTGCTGTTCTGTGTAAGTAAACAC